CAAACTAACTAACTATGCCGCCCCCCAAAACGACGACGACGATGACGATCAAGTGTAGTATCTGTTCCGATCAGTTTGATATCTGACCTGTAAACCATTGGGAGATTTTTGAAAGAAAAAAAAAAATACGGGGAGAGAGAGAGAGAGAGAGAGAGAGAGACCCCAAACTAACTACCTCGTCTCCCAAAACAACACGGACGATGACGATCAAGTGTTTGTCACGCTTTGGTCCTCTGCTGCACGATGGCGACGATGACGATCAAGTGTAGTATCTGTTCCGATCAGTCTGAAAAACGGTGCACGCAGTTTTGCGTGCACCAGAGAGAGAGAGAGAGAGAGAGAGAGAGAGAGAGAGAGAGAGAGAGAGAGAGAGAGAGAGAGAGAGAGAGAGAGACAGACCCCAAACTAACTACCGAGCTCATCCCCCACGACCTCTCTGCTCCTGCTACCCTCCTCCACCCTCTTCCCCATTTCTTCACTCTCCCGGCTCCTCTGTCACATCTCCACAGCCTGGGGAAAAAAGGACGTGCCCTTCCTCCGGTCTTTCTTTATGTCCCTGGCGCCAAGCTTGCCCAGGATTGTACATGAGGCCAACGGGGATTGAACCCAAGACCTTGTGAATGCCACTTGCGTGCCATACCAACCAAGGTACGCCGCTGGATTTCAGGCTAGATTCGGGGGACAGTAGGGGTAGACATAGCATGCCGATTTCCAAAGCCAGCTGTTGCAGAACCTCCCCAACTAGCAGGAGGTGCTGCACACACATTGCCATGGTTGTTAGGGCACAACCCCCCATTAACGAGTCTGAAAACACCCCAGACCACCACCCCAAAACCCACCGAACCCACCACCCTGACTCATTTCTCCCATTTCCCGCTGAATCCCTTGCGAGGGAAGCCGCAACAGGTACCCTTGTGTTGTTTTGCTTCTGGGTTGGGGTGGACGTATATCAGGACATGGGATTTGCATTTAGTCTGTGCAACACTGGACTACATGCTGCCAAATTGAAAAATGGGGCCTATTTTACCTGCAACTTGTAAATAGTGCGCGGTGATTTTTCACTGCTGATCTGTGAAGATCAGCGGTGGAGAGATCATCGCCCGTACTGTTCAAGAGGTGGGGTCCAAAAGGCCCCAATTTGTTTTTTGTAAGGAGGCAGCGGCCTCCCATGGGCTGGGCAATCGTGGGGATGGCCTTTACTCCCTGGTTGCCCCCCCCCTCCCCTCTTCTCCCCCCCTTTCCCAGCGTGATGCTCTGGGTTGGACCGAAGGTCTGCTGGGCCAGTCGACCGCCCGGTCTGACCGGCAGGCTCCCAATTGGGGGAGGGGCCGCCGGTCCAGCCGGGGAGCAGACCTGGTTTTGTGCCAGTTACGGAAATGAGATGAGATTGTTGATTGCTAATGGTAAATAAGGGATGCACTACGACAAGTCTTGTGTGTGGTGTCCTTAGTCCAGTGTACTATGGAAACGAGATTTCCGAGAATGCTAACCCTTCTGATTGCTGTGCTGGTTGGACTGCAGTTGGCGGGATTACGCTATTCCGTGCTTGAGACGAGTTGCCCGAGGCATGCTGAGAGGCTAGCTGCAGCAGCTGATTTGTCGATGTGTTCTGATGGTAAGTACAGACTGATTTGACAACAACCTACTGAGGTAGTGGTGAAGCAAGCCTACAGAGTGAACCATGTCTTGTACAAAGATGGGAACCTGTTTTTTTCTCTCTTTTTGCTTATTTTTTCAATTTTTTTGTACATTGATGTTTTGTGAGCTTCCAGTGGCCTAGCTCAGTTGGTAGGGCTCGCAAGTGGTATTTAGGAGGTTTTGAGTTAAATCCACATTGGCCTCGTGTACCTTCTTGGGCAAGCTTGGTGCCCACTACCTAGAGATAGGCTGTTTGGTCTCCATGAGCAGCAGTGCGCAGAGACTGCTAATGTTTGTTGTTGGAGGGCACCGGAGGGGAGGCACAGCTACTGGCCCATTGAAGAAGCTCAGTCCTGATGCTACCGGCTGACCCCTGACCGCTATCACCCACCTGCTGTAGCAGGTATCGCACCTGCTGGTGGGTGCAGCTCCCGCATGCTACCTTGTTGGAGGGGTTGCCAGTACGTATATAATGAAAGGGCATCCTGTCCGGATTTGACAGGCAATTGAATTGGTTGGGATTAAAAGAATTGCCCTTAAAAAAGAAAAAAGCTTCCGAACTGCAGGTGGCTGTCGTGCAGCATTAGGCAAAGCCCTTGAGGTTCTGCAGCGGGCCTGACCCCACAGTCGCTACTTATGTAAAAGTTGCTGTTTGGTGTGGTGGGTCTGTAGAGGTGATCAACATGAAATCTTGGCTGTCACAGTTGGATTCTTCATTGCTGTGTGGCCTGGATTTGCCACTTGTTGTTCTCTAGAGGTGATTGCGAGGAATGAGCCCTCGCTCCTACCCTAAATGCAAGTGTTCTGGGCTGCGGTCCTCAGCAACCTCATGCCCGCCCTAAATGAAGGCGGGCCTGAATATCTATGTGAAGCCTACTTTCAACATTTTTCATATGGGAATCAGTCAGTTCCGGCATGCCAGTTGGTTACACAGCAATGTGAGCCTTCAGGCTCTTTCCAGTAGCAAGGGCTGCGCTGTACAGTTGAGCCCTCAGGCGGTTGCACCATGGGCACATGCTGTGTCAGGCCGATACATGACGGACTGGCCGCGGGCCAATGAGAAAGCAGCATTGTCGTCACACAGGCACCGCGAGCCAATGAGAATGCTGCGAACACTTGGAGGCTGGGTGGATGCCTGCCTGAACGTGCCTAACTGCACGAGGCCCAGGCTGGTATCTGAAACGGGGCCTGCACACAGACACTTCGGGTCAGACTGAAGCTACTGGGCCGCCCACATGCCTGGTCAGGCCAGCCAGCAGCGGGCACACTTTCCATAAAGGAAATTGTGTGTCCCCTGGAGAGGGCATTCTGGCCTGCCAAGGCAATGCAGCCACTCTGCTGCATTGTTGGGTGAGCGCTGCTTAGTACTAGCAGGCTGGGGCGCATATGGGCGCAGTGGGCGCATGACGGCCATAGCTGGGCGCACGTGAGGAAGGAGGTGGCGGTGATGGTGGTCTTTGAGTAGGAGGCGCATGCAGATGGAGTCAAGGGGTGATGAGGGGAGAGGAGAGAACGTACCTGGTGTATGCTGGTGGTCGGCATTGGTGTTGACGTCACGTACATTGGTCTTCGACTTCGATGTGATCTAGTTGTGTGAACGTAGATAGGAAGGATAGGCTGAGTAGAGTAGGCTGGGCGCGGGGCGCCAGACAGTAGGAGTCATATTGGGAGCAGTGTTGGTGTGACCAGAGAATGTTGGCATTGGCACTCAAGTTCATTGTATTGCTCTTATTTTGATGGCATCTTGTCTTGGTGTATTGTGCTCTCTGCTTGGTACATGACTATCTGGATTACTTCGTGATTTTGCAACTTGGTTTTCTGTCTATCGCTCTCACGCACATTCCTTGCAATCTGGTATCGGAGCTGGTTCGATATTGCTGTTACCGGTGCTGGCGACTTTGTTACTTGGTGCGCTGACGAAGCTTCTACGCAGTAAGGATACATTGGCGCGGGCTTGTGAAGGCACTCCAGTGTAGAGGGGAGTCTGGCAGGAAGGCTGTGGCAACAGCATGGGATCTGTGGTGACAGTGGACGTATGTGGGATGATGAGAGCATGCTGAGATGGCATTTTGGTTGAGGTGGCACTGAATCTCTTCTTTCCGTGAGGAAGTGAGTTCAACTTGAGTGTCCTCTTCTGTTCAGGAGTCGTGAGCCTTCTTCCTTGAGAGTCTACATTCTTCCTGGTGGCGTATGTGGCAGGCGAGGGCGGTGCCTCTGAAAGGCTCGGGTCGAAGCACGGGTCTCGGTCACCATGCCAACCCATGGGAGTAGAGCACGCATGCTGCTGCTTTGTCCTTTGAGGTCTTGCTGCGCTTTAGAGGGAACGTGGAGCGGCCAGTCCTATGCGAGACGTGTACCAGACCGTCTATAAAGAACCTCTGGCGGGGAATCTGATATCTTGCTGCGATCGTCGTCCTGTCTGCGATGTTAAATAATTCATGAGGACTTTGGGGGTTGTCGTTAAATTGCCTCTTGATCAGCCAGATCATCGGATTTAAGGCTTGTTGCACGTGAGGATAAACAAAGGGCAGTGCTGGCCATAAGCAGTTTCCTGGGCACAGGGGTGGGCCGATGTGCACACCATAGACACCGCTGCTAGATAATGCAATCAGGTACACCATAGACACCGCTGCTAGATAATGCAATCAGGTCCGTTGGATACAGGGAAGGGAAGGTTCCAATTGGTGTTCGTACACACACAATTATTCCCATTTCCACATACATCTGTGCAGTGATTTATTTTTATTTTTGCTTAGTGGAGGTGTGACGGACTGCTAACACCTGACAGACAGCATTAGAATTAGAACTGCAGTAGTCTATCATTGCCAGTTCTATGTAATGCTGCTGTAGAAGAACTGATTGAAGTAGGAGTATATCATTTGCTCAGTCTGTGTATAAACTGTTGACGCCACTTGATCGGTAGCCCTGGTGACTTGCCGAATAATTATTTATTTTGTATTATTTTTTGAATCGGTCAGACACATGCTGTGGTAGACCCTAGTGAGGGCACTAGTGCAGACAGTGATCTGCTTAGCTGATGAGCGGGGTAGATAGTGGGGAAGGACAGCGGATGATAGGAGGCGAACACGGCGGGATACGCAGTGGATTCCGGTAGTGTTCCAGGTTCTACTATCAGTGGACGAGAGAAGGTTCCGGTCTGTAGGGAGGAGTTTGAGGACAGCTAGGGAGGCAGCAGCAGCTGCAGAACGCTTGTAGGCGGAGGAAACAGCAAGCGCTGAATCCATGGCAACCTCTACAGCGACCTCTCAGGGTCATCAGACTTCAGGATCCTTTGCTATGTCCTATGTCCCATCTAGTGGGGCATCGGTTGGACCATCCTCCAGTTAGATAGCAGGCTCACAGTACAGCCAGCCCCCTCCGCCCACTAGGGAGGAGTTGGAACTCCAGCAAGTAGAGTTACTCCGCTTACACTTCGAGAAGCAACTGAGGGATGCTACCGAAAGAGAAGAGAAAATTAGAAATAGGAAGGCTAGACTGCAGAGCAGATTGGCAGATAGGGTTAGATGATTCAAACTTGGATGATGCAGGAAAGATAATCCAGGTGAATCTGCTGGGTTTAAACCACCAGTACCTCGCCCAGCTTGAAAAAGCCGACGCGGCCGTTAACGCGCCGCATCGGGCGGGGTACCCAGCCACGAACGACCGGTATTCCCCAAAAAACGGGCCAAAAAAAAAAAAAAAAAGATGAAAATGAGAAGTAATA